GGAACAATGGCACGGCAAGGGCGTCATTTTAGTCTCAAGTCACGCTCTGAAGTTAATTCATACTCTTCTCAGGCTAATTCTCGCAGGTCTTAGGCCAGGGCAGAACGAACAACAGGCCTTGTACCGCCTTGCGCCCTCCCTTTAAATTCTTCGTTTGCTACAGAACCACCCAGCCTCGTCCGTCTTCCCCCTTAAGTGATCATCTTAGTTTTGGATCTACTCGGTGTGGCCCTCTTTCCTCACTTGGCCTCTGTCAATGACCGAGTCATTTCCTGGGTCCTCCAAAGCCTCACACTTGCTAAAACTTCAACATCTGGGGGCTCAGGCATCATAGGGACAGTGTGCAAAAAAACCAATACGGGTCTTCCGCAAAGAGGAAGGGGACCAAGACATGGGGAAGGGGAGGGGATGAAAGAAGATGCGTGCCAACTCCCGGCATGACTGTGATAGTCATGTGCTGTGAACAGGTCAACATAAAATTTAAAGAACGGCTTAGAAGAATGCCGATTAGAAAACACACCGAATCATTTTGGGGTCCGATCCTGTGAAAACTATGAGCACAGTGGGGCTACGGTTCCTGGAGCCACCATGAGGGGGTGCTAAGGAGGGGTCTGTGGCCCCATCTCCACAGCCCATAGATGACAGGGTGTCGTCGTCCCCCCCCCCCCCCCCGCACATCCCCCCTCCAGTCTGCTTCTGGTTTACAGCAGATTCTATTTGCTGCTTTGCTTTATGTGCACTTAAAAAACCCAAGCTCCACAAATTCAGGTCTGTCACTTGGCATTAGGCAACGTGGAAGTGAGCTTCGGATCTGGTTCTCAGGAGGCTGGTGGCTGCTGTGTCACTGTGGAGCAGGGAAAGAAAGAGGAGGGAGCAGGAAAGGACAGAGTGAGGAATAAGCCTCCTGGCTCTTCCCAGGGGAGCTGGGGGTGGCCGAGCCAGCCGGGAGCATTCCCGTTCCAGGGAGAGATGGACTCATCTGTCAGCCAAGACTTACTGAGGAGCACAGAAAATGGAGGCACCACGGGAGGCTGTGACTTGCCTGGGTCTCCTGCTCACAGTTCCCTCGACGTGGTGTTTAAAGCCACACAGCCAGTCAGCTCAGGCCATGAGAGTGTTCTGAGTGGGACAGAACAGGGACGATGAGCTGAGAGCTTGCCAAGCTTTGGATGACTGATTTAAGAGTTGTAGATCTAGAAAAGCAACATCACCAACATAAAAAGAAGAGGTCAACAGAAAGGTGCTAAGCCTATTCCTCAGGCCCCTCTCCAAACAGCCACACTGCAAGTGAGCTGCTTCCAAGCCTGGGGAGACAGTTGGGAGCTGTCACGTTGAATATTACAGGTACAAACAACCAAGAACCCTCTAGTCACCCACCTCCCAGGCCAGGTGTGCAGGAGAAGGCGGAACTCTCTTTACTCTGATTTCAGGCCCCAAAGTCATGACTTCTTGTAGGGGACAGGGGAAGGGGACGTTACCAGAACCTCTGCAGTGAGTCCTGGTCTCCTGTGAGCCACGGCAGCAAACGGCGAATTACAGGAAAGGTAGAAAAATGAGACTGAGAAGAAGCTGAGCTTTGGGTCTGATCAGTGCTGCTCTGGGCGGCAAAGACAAAAGCCCCCAGCTTACCACACCTTTTATTCAGTACCTAGTAACAAATGACTTGCAGAGAATTCAGTACATCGGGAGAAACAAATGTAACAAATGACTTGCAGAGAGTTCAGTAGTTCACATTGGGATAAACAAGGTGTAACAAAAGGCTTGCAGAGAGTTCAGTCCATCTCGGGTAAACAAGATGTTAACAGTCCAAGAACAACGAGGAACTGAGCAGATGTTTGTTCTCCCAGGATGTTTCTTGTCTTGGAGAATCACAGCATCACTGGATCACTGAAGTCTCAGTTGTGACTGGAGGCCAAACTGGAGTTATTCTGTAGCTTGGCTGTAGGCAAGAGAACTAGGCTAACCAAATGATTTTTCCCTAGAATTATGCAGCATTGCTCCCAACAACTTCTCATTTGTCTTTTTGTGCTGGGGTTAGAACTTAGGACCTAACATACTAAGTGGAAGTTCTACCCCTGAGCTGCAGCCTCATCCCAGAAGGTAGACTTTGGTGATGACTTGACTTCCTGTCAGATTTTCTTGTAGGGACCAGGATTGCTCTGCACAAGCCTGGGAGTTGTTGGGCCTTGTTCTCCTCCCTGAGGGGTTTGGTTTATACTCCTAAGACTCTGGACGGTGGGATTCATCTCCCTTGTGCCTTCTTATCTCTGGGTGCACTGACTCAGTAGCCCCTGACTGAGGCCATCCTCCTGGCCTTGGTCTCTTGCTTTTAAAACTGTTTTGAGGTTTCTGATGCTGGGAATGTGAGCCCACTGCCCCATCCACCCCGATACCCCAGGTTACAGTCTGAGCTCTTCCTACCTTTCAAGGCTAAGAGAGAGCAAGCAACAGAAAAACACACTCCAGCTCCTGAGGCTTCCATTTTGTACAAAGAGGCTGGATTAGTCACTCTCTGCCCACGTCCAGTCTCCACCCTAAGTCGCCTGGACTTTCCCCCCACTGTGCATACAGTAGACCCCCAGGTACCGTAGGTGACATCCTTCCCCTCACTATTCTCACTAAGGGAAGTGGGGAAGTCACCCACTCACCAGCTGGTGACCCTGGGCAAGTGACTTCATGCCTCTGCCTCAGTTTCTTCATTGTGAAATGGAAGCAGGGAAGCAGCCTTGTTTTGAGGAATAAATGAATTCTTTTTTTTTTTTTTTTTTTTACAACAAAACAAAGAACTGGCTAATGGTCACATTAGCTGCAGGATGATGACATCCTCGTGGGGGGCCATGTCCAAGCCAAAGGGTAGAAGATCACCTGTTGACGGGGTCACGCAAGAGAGCCTGAGTCAGAAGGGACCTCGGGGACCTTTCAGCTGTTCCACTCCCTGAGTCTGTGGTGGTCTCAACCTGCTCTTGCTTTAGGGGAGGAGCTCACTGCAGGGCAGCGACAAGGAATCAGGTGCCCCTCCCAGGTCTCCCCCAGTCTCCGGGCTGCTCACGGGCTGTTCGCTGCTTGCACACGGACTTCCAACAGCTGATCTAAGTTCTACAAGCTGGCCTGCCCATACTGATTCACCTTGAGGCGCAGCTCTCCCCTTGGGAGGGAGGAAGAAAGACAGGTGTAGAGGCAAGTCATTATCTCGGGAGCTGAGAGAAAAACAGGCGCAGATCCCGGCCCGAGTAGCGGCTCACAGGAGGCATCTCCCTTCCCTTTCTGGAGACATCAGGGTGAGAGCAAAATTCACACAAGGGCTGCCTGCCACTGCAAGACCGGGGTGGCTTCCATCCCTCCACAAAAGCACATCCAGTTCTGGGTGTGGCGACGAGGCAAGGAAGGCCGTGGCTTCCTGTGAACACTGGCTTCCACACCCCAGAGGGCAGCAACTTCCAGTGCGGTGGTCACGGTGGCATTTCACATCAGGATCCATTCTCGCAACGTTCAGCGGAGCCATTGTTTCTTAAGGTGATGAGAGAGAAGTGCTGCTCTCTGGAGAACCCCCACCCCTTCTTTTGGGGCACAGGGAACTGTCTGTCCTCAGGGCCTTCTCCTTGGCAGAGACAACATCCTTCTGATGCCTGCCAAAGGCGATGCTGACTTATGAGAGGCTGAGAGTAAACAAACACTCACATCCCTCCTGAGCCTCTTGTTTCCTGAGCAGCCCCAGAGCTTGGTTGGTCACTTTTGGGGAGCCCAACAAGCACTAGCGTAATATGCATATGTTGTTGTCTACCGCTCCTGGCTCACAGCTCCCTCCTCAAGGCAGGCCTGGAAACTAGAATCGCTCTTCCCAAGGCAGGTCCATATACCCCCGCCTTTGTGTCTTGGAGCTGCCGTGAAGCTTGTCTGACAGATCATAAGACCCTCTTTTCCCAAGCCTGGTCCTGTCTCAAACCTGGGGAGATCCAACCAACTGCGTCCCAGCATCCGTGGCCCAGCCTTTCACAAGCCCGCTGCTGCACTGTGGCTCTCCTTGGCAGGGCTGCTTCCTGGAATGAGTTCATATTTTGTAAAACAACGGTGCTTGGGACTGAGGTCTACGGAAGTCTTATTAAACAAACAGGTAGGAATAGGACCCAATAAACCAACTCCTTAAAGATGAACACAGTGGAACTTTAGAATCCTAACTTGTGTTTTTTTCAAAGTAGGCATTCTGCTTACTGCAATCAGCCGCCCAAAATATTTTTTTGGAACTGCTGTTTGGGGATTATCCTCAGGACTAATTTATAACCCCTATGAGGAGTAAATCCACCTCAATATTTACCATCACATCCCAGTTTAAAATTATTTTTGACCGGGGCCGGGGATTAGCACAGTGGTTCCACCGCCTGCCTCGAAAGTGCAGGGATCCGAGTTTGATCCCTAGTACCAAAAAACAAAATCAAACAATATAAATAAATAAAGTTTTAAAAAATAATTTTTGACTTACTTTCAAAGAAAACATATCACCTCTGAGTATTTTAAATTTAAGGATATTATTATTTATTAGATTTTATTATTTATTTGTTTATTTATTTATTTAGAGACAGGGTTTCACTTTGTGGTACAGTCTGGTCTGTGTAGCCCAGACTGGCCTCGAACTCACAGCGATCCTTCTGCCTCAGTCTCCCAAGGGCTGGAATCACAGGTGTGCACCACCCCACCGGCCTGATTTTTTTTTTTTTTTTTAAAGGTGCAACACGTTTTAACAATTCCGGAAAAACGCTTTAAACAACAAAATATGTTTTTGGTGTCTTAGTTACTTTTCTCATTGCTGGAACAAAATACACAACACCCGCAATTTAGGGGAGGAGAGGTTTATTTTGGTTCACAGTTCCGGAGATTCCAGTCCAGGGCTCCAGGGAAGGGCAGGAGGGCAGATGGGCTAGGCAGACCAGAGGGAAGCACAGAGTCAGGGACGGCGAGGGGGAGGGGCTAGACCCTCCAGGCCACACCCACAGCAACTCGCCTCTTCCGGTCAGACGTCAGACCCCGCCTCCCAACGACACATTTAGCCACGAACTCTCCAACGGACTAACCCAACGATGAGATGAGTATCACATCCCAGTGACCCAATTACCTCCCCAAATCCCACCTATGAGTACACGAGGCTTTGCAGGGAGACCTAGATATAAACCATAAGATGATATAAATATGTTAGGAAGCAAATCATGAAGGAGACAACAGTTTAAGCTTTGGGTCAACCCCGTGACTCCCTGGCTACTTCTAGTGCACTGAGCTGCTGCAGCAGGCCACCACAGAGGCAGGGGCTGCTAATGGACCAGCGGACTGGACTAGCATCTGGAAGCTTGTTCAGAATTCAGAAACTTGGCCCATAATACAGAACTACTGGATCAAAATCTCCCCAGTTGATATATCTGTACACAAAAGTTGGGGAGGTGCTGCTCTAATCCACAGCGCTAATAGAGCTCTTCATCGTTCACCTCGCGAACACCTGGGTTACTGGAAGGGACCTACCTGCTTGAGTCTACTGAGCTTCGCCGAAGGGGCCCATATGGAGGTTTTCAAAGCTTTCCGGTGTGCTAGAGCGTGAACCGAGGCCTCACTCATGCTGAGCATGTGTTCTATCACTTAGTTACATCCCCAGCCTGATACTTGATTCTGGGTTTTGAGGGTGAGCAGATGGTGATCTGAGATGAAGTCACCACCCTGCCTATGTTTGGGTTGCATTGAGGGAGGAGGCAGCAGACCTGGATTTCCAGTAGGGGGTGCTGGATCCCAGGAGGTGGGTGTGGAGAACTGAGGCTGGAAAAGACTTAATTTGGAAGACACCACTTTCTGACTAAGGGAGCCCATCCCACAAGGATCCTCTGGATGTTCAGAACTCAAGTTTCATCTATCCATCTACTCATCCATCCAGCCACCCACCTATCCATCCATCCTTCCACCTGTCATTCCTCAAATAAACATCTCTTTGCTCTTAAAGTTCGTATATCACAGGGTGTTGCAAAGCCCTATAAGATATTTCTTGCCCAGAGTCATTTATTTGCTAGCTGAGCCTTTCCCCTGAGATGTGCAACTAATGCCCATGCCAAGTGGCTTGCTCACACTGCTCCATGTGCATTAGTTGGCTTCCTGTCTCTAGTACTTTTCTCCCTTCCCTCCCAGAAGCCCTGGGAGATCCTGTCCTGCTGAAGGATTTCTTTTAACATCGTACTGCTGGTCTGAAGACGACAAATTTCCTCCTGTGTTGGATGTCTGAAAATGTCTTCATTTAGCCTTTGTTGGGTGTGAGGGGGATCTGGCTGCGACATCTCTCACCCCACTGATCTCCGGGGTTGATTCAGCTGATCTGGCTGGCTATGTGTGTGTCCCCTGCCTCCCTCACCCTCCATGTGTGCCCCCTGGAAGCTGCACGCTGGGCGGAAGAGACAGACAGTTCCCTGTGCCCCAAAAGAAGGGGTGGGGGTTCTCCAGAGAGCAGCACTTCTCTCTCATCACCTTAAGAAACAATGGCTCCGCTGAACGTTGCGAGAATGGATCCTGATTTGAAATGCCACCGTGACCACCGCACTGGAAGTTGCTGCCCTCTGGGGTGTGGAAGCCAGTGTTCACAGGAAGCCACGGCCTTCCTTGCCTCGTCGCCACACCCAGAACTGGATGTGCTTTTGTGGAGGGATGGAAGCCACCCCGGTCTTGCAGTGGCAGGCAGCCCTTGTGTGAATTTTGCTCTCACCCTGATGTCTCCAGAAAGGGAAGGGAGATGCCTCCTGTGAGCCGCTACTCGGGCCGGGATCTGCGCCTGTTTTTCTCTCAGCTCCCGAGATAATGACTTGCCTTCTGCACCTGTCTTTCTAACCCCCCCGATTGGAGGACCGTTTCCTGGGTCTCGGGTATGTGAGTAGCTTTGTCCTCCTGGTAGAACCTCCAAGCAAGCTCTCAAGGTCTATTTAGCTTTTGTTTTTGAAAAAAAAATTTCCTTGTATATAGAATTCTAGGCTGACAGCTATTTCTTCCAGGGCTTTAGCGATGTTGCTCTGTTATTTTCTGCTTGTATTGATTCTGATGAGAAAACTGTAATTTTTATCTTTGTCCCTTTCTATGTAATGTCTTTTTCCACTGGCTGCTTTGAAAAGTTTTCTCCTTATCGTTTGCATCCTGTAGTTTGATTACGATGTGGCTTTTGTATGTGCTTTTTTATGTTTATTCTACTTGGGATTAGTTGAGATCTTTGTTTTGGTTTGGTTTTTAGAGACACAGTAACACTATGTAGTCCAGGCTGGTCTCTAATTTGAGACCCTCCTACCTCAGCCTTCCCAGTGGGATTACATACATGATGACATACATGAACCACCACATCTGGCTTAAGTTGAGATACTTGAATCCACTTTGTTCACTAAATTTGGGGAATTTTAAACTACTGTTGGTTAAAACATTTTTCTTGTCTCTCTTACCACTCCTTTTCCTCTGGACTTTACTTCGTGGATAATAGACTCCTCGATATTGTCCTGTAGTTTACTGAGGTTTGATTACCTTTGGGAACTTTTTTTTCTTTTGTTTTTTTGAGACAGTCTTGCTATGCAGTTCAGAATCGCTTTGAACTCACTGTGTAGCCCAGGTTGGCTTTGAACTTTCGGCAGTCCTCCTGCCTCGGCCTCTCAAGTGCTGGGATTACAATGTGTGCTGCCACGCCTGGCCTGTAAACTCTTTTTTTCTCTCTTTGCATCATTCTGGATAATTCATATCACTATGTCTTCAGGTCCACTGTTATTGTAGCCTGCAATTGGCCAACTAACTGTTAACTCTACTTGGTCTATTTTCTCATCAGTACAAGTTACATTTGTGTCCTATATTGCTTTTATTACATTTGTGTTATCTTTTACATGTTTTCAAAATACAGTACTTACATATGGCTGACTTACTGTTCTTTTTTCTACTTCTATCTATAGTTTTTTCAATCTATTTCTATTGATTGATTTTCATTCTGGTTATGGTTCATATTTTCTCATTTCTTTAGATATAATTTCTTATTGGATGCTGGACTCTGAATTTCACATATTAAGTCTGGATTTTGTTGTTTTTTTTGTACCGGGGATCGAACTTGGGACCTTGTGCTTGCAAGGCAGGCGGTGGATTGTTGTATTTCTTTAGTGGATACTGATTCTGTTAAATACGTGGGGTCGGTTGGATTCTTCCAAGGCTTGCTTTCCAGTTTCTTTAGATCAGTTCTAGAGACATGTTTACCCTAGGGCTAACTTATCCCCATTTCTAAGGCTTGATCTTTCCAGCCAGTAGCAACACGAACAATTCTCAGCTCTGCGTGAGTTGTCCACGTTACATGGCTGGGTACATACATTTTGGTGTTTCGCCCAGTGCACACATAGGTTATTACTCAGCTAGATTCAAAAACGAGTCCTCCATAGCTCTCCCTCTCTGTAAACTGAGGACTCACAAAGCTCACCTAATGTGTTCTGATTTTCTCAAGGGTCACAGTTATACAAGGAGGGGTCAACATATGTGGTGAAATATATGCTGAATGCTGAAATTTTAAAGATTGTTTACAATAAAAGACATATTGCCATTAATTCTCCTCAAAATGCTTCCTGTTGGTTTGAGCATACTTATTCCATCATTCCTGCCACTTTCTGAAGCAACTCTGGACGTTCTCTTTCATGAGTGTCTTCATGAGGTATGATCAAAAATATGGTGAATACTTTTGGTGCGTGCCATCCAACAGAAAGGCAGCCTATAAAAACATGATGCTGCGTCCTCATCCATCTTATTCAGTGCATCTGGCACCGTGTGACTTCTGGCTTTCCCCCAAAGTCAAAACAACCATGAAAGGTAGATGTTTTAAATCGACTGAGGACATCGAGGCAGCCATGACACCGCAACTAAAGACACTTAGGAAAGAGGACTTCAGAGTTGCTTCAGAAAGTGGCAAGAACCATGGGACAAGTGTGTTTGAAATTGTTGTGCCCAGATTACGAAGTCCCAAAGACCACCAGGAGGCCGTTTCCGATGTAAGCACACGAGGGTCATTTATTCAAGCTTAAGCAGGGACTCTCAATTGTCACCGACACAGCGGATCGAGATTGAGAGCCCCGAGTTCCAAATTAGCAGGGTTTTTATAGAGGTTACAACAAGCTTCGGTCATTAGCAGCCATATGATTGGTTAACATTTAGCAAGTATGAAGTGTAGAATTTTGATTGGCTAGGCTCATTGGGGGTTGAAGGGGATTACGTATAGGTTTTTACGAGAAAAATGGGGACAAAGGTTAGTGGTCTACTGTCGCGTACTGATGGTCAGCAGACATCCTGACTAATGGTCATGACCACCTTGTGTGGATAGTCAGCACGTTAACAGATTGTCCTATAGATAGTGGGCCTGGGACACTTGTTTCTAGGGCAAACAGATGGCTGAGTAATGAGCTTAGGAATCTTGAGTTACAGATCATGTCTTTTGTCCCAGATTAAGCACATTTAATCATTAATTTGAAAGAACAAAGGAGACTGCTCCATTTTGGACAAAATGGAGTCATTCTGGTCTCACATTAGCAAAATAGAGTCACTTTTGGTCTCACAAAATAAGGAGGAGGATTCTGAAGGAGATGAAGGACAATGTGTCTTTTACGGTAATAAACTTTTTTTTTTTTTTTTGGTACTGGGGATCAAACTCGGGTCCTTGCGCTTGTGCCGCAGGTGGCGAAACCACTGAGCTAAATCCCCAGCCCAAACTTTTTAAAATTTACACATTCACCATATTTTTCAATCAAATCAAGTATGTTAGCTGTTGTCCAGTGTCTGAAAACTGACATTTTATATATTTTGTCCAACTTTCTAGTTTTCTGGAAGGGAAGTTACCGTAATAGTTAATGTCTCACAGGTAGAAACACAAGTCTGTGGGGAGATTTTTCATGACTCTTTGATAAGATTTTTGGAGCTTTCCATTTCTTCCTAAGCCAATTGTGGAAAGTTATATTTTCCTAGAAATTTGTCTTGTTCTTCAAATTTTTAAGTGCTAGTGATAGAATTATCTTATTAACCTTTAACCTCGGCTCTGTCTGTGGCTATGCCCCTGGTATGTGCTGGAGCCCATATATCTGCCCACTGCTACCAGGGAAATAAAAACAGCATTGCCTCTCTTCCATCCCCCAAATGTCACGCAAGTACTGCTCACTTGTGGAATCTAACATGGAAAATGGCTGACAAAGGGTTCTGGGAAACATTTCCCAGATTTCCTAATTCTTGGGAAACACAGAAGAGAAATGGTAGGCCATTAGCTGTCTGGTGTATTTCACTGCTTTAGGTACTCAGCATCCATCTATACCATTTAATTAGATCACATTTAATGATCAGGCAGTGATAGCAACAACATAATACTTTTGCCTAACATTCCAAGACTATCTTTCTAGAAATGAAGATGACCCCACCATCTTCCCTCAGAAGGGGAGATCCAGGGGCTGGGGATTTAGCTCAGTGGTTCCGGCGCCTGCCTTGCAAGCATGCGGTCCCGAGTTTGATCCCCAGTCCAAAAAAAAAAAAAAAAAAAAGAAAAGAAAAGGGGAGATCCAAAGTCCTATCAGTCATTTTTTTTTTTTTTGGTACCAGGGATCAAACTCAGGACCTTGTGCTTGCGAGGCAGGCACCGGAACCACTGAGCTAAATCCCCAGCCCCTACCAATCATTCTTTCTACAACAGTCATTCTTTTTTGTTTTTGGTCACAATCTCCCTTGATATCCTGTAACCTAAAAACTAAATTAAATATATATAATTTTTATTTGTCAAATATACCTCAATAGGCTGATAACTTTTTTTAAAAAAAGCATGAGACTTATATACTCAAATCTATCAAGGGAGTATATAGGCTGATCAACCAAAAACTGTATCATTTAGTGTAAAAATCTTTTTTTTTTTTTTGGTACTGGGGATTGAACTCGGGTCCTTGAGCTTGTGCAGCAGGTGGTGAAACCACTGAGCTAAATCCCCAGCTCTAGTATAAAAATCTTACAGAAAATTTATTTTTTAATAACTTCACTAACAAGGTTGCATTAGTATCCAGAAAAATACCCACAAATACTTTAGAAATCATGTAATTTCTCCAATATTAATTTCCCTAATATAATTTCCTTTAACAGTCATGTTAAATTTTAAACATTAAGTAACTTTTTAGCACAAAGCCTGTTGTTGTTAGTTTCTTTCTTTTTTTTTTTTTTTTGGTACCAGGGATCGAACTCGGGACCTTGCGCTTGTGAGGCAGGCGGTGGAACCACTGAGCTAAATTCCCAGCTGTTGTTAGTTTCTTAACAATTTCATGCTAACTTGTCTACTGATAATAACTAATAAAATACAACAAGTATGATGGTACAATCATAGACTAAAATATTAGAAGTCTCCATATTTTAGGTTTATCACTAAATCATGGAGTTAATTTTTTTTTAATATATAAGTTCTGAAAATGTATAACACACACAATAGCGAAATCGTCTGACAGTGACTTTGCAGTTCTCCCAATATTTCTACAATGCATCCCTGATGATAACACTATCAATGCACTGGGGCTAGTGGACAAAGAGGTCTCTCTGAAACAGTTAAAGTTGGCGAGGAGGGGCCTCACTTTAATATGAGTTGAGGGATAATTAGAAATTCATCATGGAAGGGTATGTCTACCACAGACATCTTTCCTCACAGTTAAATGATCTCATTTCTTCCCCATCTCTAGTTCTTAGACCCCCCAAACCATTTATTTTTCCTTCTTTTTTCTTCTATTTGATCCATTGGTAAAACCTAAGAGATTGTGCTTCAGGAAACTATCTTTTCTGTGGAAGAAAAATCAAAAGATTATCAATAATGAAAATTTGCCAAATTTAAGATTTAATGCTCTAAAATATG